TTAATTTAATTTTATTTTTTTATGATTTTTACTATTATAATTTTGAATAAAGAATTAAAGTTGATTTTATGATTTCGTAATTCCTAATTATTATTAATTTCCTTTTATATATATATATATTTGTTTTCTATTTTTATATTTAGGTTTTGATGCACAATGACAATCTTGTCGTTGTGACATTATATTATGTGGTTGAAAAAACTATTATCAAATGAGGCATATGTATGAATTAATTAACCTTTTTTTTATCATTTTTAGACGTAAAATTTTTTTATATCAACAATCGAAAATATTTTATATTATAATGAATAGATTTTGCATTAAAAAGATTTATAAATGTCTTGTATTGTTTTAATTATTTATATGTTAGTTTGTTTTGTATTCATAATATAATAAATGACAAAATATGAAATTCAGGATTTGTTCAGAGATAGCAAATTTTAAAAAAGTAATAAATGGTTTTGACATTAGGCAGAACTTTACCAAAGAATTGCCGCTAATAGAACATAATTCTACTAGTCTCTAATTATTCTCATAATTTTTCTTTAACAATTATCCAACATAAACTTTACTTTCATGGAAAATTATTAAGGAACTGCATTTCCTTTTCAGCCCTTTTCATTTCATCATTTATATTAAATATTTTTTTAAATATGAGCTTTAACCCCAAAAAATTACTAAGGTATTAATCCATCTCTTCTCACCGTATCATGGCTTGATCTTAATCTTTCACACTCTACCCTTTTTTGTATTTGTTCCAAGTATCTAACTCCTTCCTTTCCGTCCACAAACTTCACTCACTAATTTATGCCCAATGTTTTCTACAAGCACTCCTGATTCCCTTTTTCGGGTACCCCAGTATAATTCTAGCCCAGACCTAATCAACCACATATTAGGATGGATTATCTTTCGAATCCACCTCTCGAGTTATCTCTTTATTTAAGAAATCTAACTGAATGCGAGTTCTACGGCCCAAAAACTTTTCCACCGGGGACAATTCTTCCCATTTTAGGCTATCATTATAATTTGCCACTGCTATCCAAATCTTTTCTTCGCCATATTTCGACTTTCTTAACCAACTTTTAACATTTTTTTTAGTTAATTTTATGCATTAACGATGAAAATTAATAAGAGTTCTAACTAAAAATTAATGAATCATTAACCTGAATGAATACCTTTAAATAATATTAATAGGATATACTAAGTTAAAAAACTTCTCCATATAAACATTTTTATCAACTGTAAATAACAATGGAGATGCAAGATCTAATAATAATGACCCTAAATTTTTCAAATATCGAGATAATCATATATATGACACAAATATATCATCCTTAAAAAGGAAAGCGATTTGTCGAGAGATATATATCAAAAGTTATGAAAAAAGATAAAGGCTTTTCTTGAGAGAGAAAATAGATGAAATATAAATGAAGCTACTTAGAAATCTGCTCGGTGAAATTTTATCCGATGATAATACTGGAGCAGTAATTACTTTTAAAGTATTTCCTAAAGGTAGTTTATTTTATATAAATAGGTAATAAATTAGAAATGTATAACAAATCCTCATGATTCACAGGAAAAGGAAGGACTAAGAGCTGCGAATAAAATTGGCCGGTCTCATATTGAGTAACATAAGCAGAAAATGAATGTACACTAAAAAGAATTAAACTTATAAAATATTTTTTTTATGGCTTAAACTTGTAGTTCAAGTTTTTAATAGCCTAGTTGCAAAAGGTATTCTTTTAGCGCTAGAGCTAAAAATTGATATTTTGAATTTCTGGTAAATATATAAGAATAGCTTTGGAATAATTGATAAAATATTTTATTTAGAATCATTGCCTTAGTTTTACATATTTTTTATACAGATTTTACTAAGCAGAAATTAATATGGCGTTAATCGCGTCTCCAGCTGATTTGCATTATGTGCTTAACCTCAACCTTCTAATTATTCTTCATCTAAATTTCATATCTGGGACTTAACATACTTTCATTTTAACATATTATTTTTATATTTCATTCTTCATTTTCTGTCAATATTTTCAACATTCTTTTTTATAAATTCGAATAAATTTCTGATTTTTAACCAATTCAATTAATTTACAAATATATATATTTTGTCACCTAATTTAATTCGATTAATATATTTTTTTATTTAAAAACTAATTAACTTAATTAGTTTTTAAATTACCCAAATTTTTATTTTCACAACATATTACATTTAAACCTCTCTTTTTTCTTCTCTTTCCTTTATCCTTCCCATCTATTAATTTTCTCTACCTTTTCTTAATCATATCTCATACATAATTCTTTTACTTTTTTATTTTGGCTCTGTATAGTAGTTTTTCAAAGTATTGTTCCATTTTCTCAAAGTATCAATCATATAGTTTTAAAACGCGGCACCGATGATATTTATTCTATAAAATATATTGATAAAAAGTCAAATACAAATTGACAGATACAACAACTTCTACTAATATATTCGGCTTCTTTACAAATATTTTATTTAGATGGCCTAAAATTAATATATTTTATCTACGTTGTAGGGAGTGAATCATATTTATCATCATATTGATGAAGCCTAATCTTTCATTTCTATTAGGTGGGGCATAGAAATTTGCTAATATTGTGGGCCTAAATTTTTTATTCAAATAGAAAAAATCAAATCTTTCAGCGATTGATACAAATTTGATGATGAAATATTGAATTCGTTTATTTATTAAGAGTGCTATCACACATGAACTGTTGGCTTGGAGGTGGTGCCCGAGATAAATATTTTATAATCATTTAAGTTAGCATTGTTATTTCCTTGACAGTGGGTTTCTTGAATACCTATAAGGTCTACTTTCTTTGCTTCAAACTTCCTACAGAGAATTGCTAATTTGTTTTTCATTCCATTTATATTAAAGGAAGCAATTCGCAACGTGCTTGTGAATTAATTCTCCATTTTATTATATTAATTTGATTCCGAAAAAATTTTTTTAAAAATGTGGGAGACGTTAGAATAAATTATGATTAATTAAGATTAGAGCAATTAGGTTAAATTTTAATTCTTATAAGAAAATTATATTTTTTTTTTAAGATTTATTTGTAAATTAATAATTAGATAATATTTGTAAAAGCAGATTAGAGTAACACTTGTAAGAAATTCTTATATATAAATATAAAAGTCATAATTAATAAAATAATTCTTTTTTAATAATCTTAATTTATCCAATAATCATAATTTAATTTTAATCCGTAAAATAAAAGGTGATAAACAAAATAAAAAGTAAAGAAGTGAAAATAAAAGTTTATAAAAATAGTAAAAAAAAAACTAACAAGAAAAATGTAATCCCCCAAATTAAAGCTATATCTCAAGCAAGGGCGTCACTAGCCTTCACAATCTCAGGGGTTCCAACTAAAAAAAAGGTTTATGGGGGGTTTCGCCCCTCATTCCCCCCAATTTGCGGGCCTTCGGCCGGGTTTTATATTAATATATTATACTTTTTTAAAATTTGTTAACTCTGAACAATTATTCTGATTTTCATATTTTGTCATTTATTATATTATGCATACAAAATAAACTGGCATATAAAAAATCATAACTCAATAATATAATTCTTAGCAACTTACATTCACAAAAGGTTATCAAACTAGTATAATTCTCTGTAACCATTTTAGACAATGTTTTATAGAGTGGACTAATAAGGAAAAATTTATAGACCAAATCAACAATTTTTGTAGAAGAGAGTATAAACGACCAATCTAAATCATAAAACTATATGGTGGTTATAGCTTCCTCTTAGATGACATTATGGAAGCTAGATAAGTAATCGAGAAAATTATTGTGAGATATTTTTCTAAAAGATTATCTTCCATTTTAAATGATATATAAACGACTACAAAGTTGACCATTATTGTTTATCTAACATATGCAATTATATGCTCTCAGCCGTTATAGTAATAATCTTAAATTACATAGCAACACAAATAATAGATGCTGGTTAATTTGCATTAATAGCCATGACACTCACGATGTAAACTAATATCAGAATTTATTATGTTGGATAAATTGATAAAATAAAACAAATATATTGAAGCCTGGAGTTATTTACACAGCAATGCCATATTAGAAATGAAACATTTATTAACTATAAAATTAGGACCAGAATGATATGATGAAACAATTAAGATTTTATATATGACGCACCACCTTGGTATATTATATCTTAAAATAATAAGTTTGTAATAATATCAAAAATATACTTGTATTAAAAATTTAACTCAAGACTGTTTTTCGAAAAAGAAAAAAATTTCCTAAAAACACGTAAAGAGAAGAAAAGTTATAAAATTTATTACATCTATTGCAGGATGAATAATAAAATGTTTATTTTAAAAACCTTTTTTTAACTAAATAGATGGCGTTAAAAACTTTGCAATTCGTTATTATATTTATTAGTAAAATTTATTATAATATTAACTGTAATATATTATATAACTGTCAAATACGTCTATAAAAGTGGCATTATATCAAATATTTTATAAACAACTGTATATAGTAGAGGCTATATGTCTACTTACTTTTTATAAAGAAATCTCTTATGCTTATTAGGACCTTGAAATTATTTTTAAGGTATAATAATAAAATTTCAAAATAAATATACAGTTGATTAGTCATTTTGAACTCAGCTAATTACAATATTAAATTTGTTAATTTTCAAATAATATATGATTATATTTATTTAATTAGAGCTAAATAATAATTTAAATAATAAAAGTCAATTAAACTTCAAGTGTTAAAGCTAAATTAAAATTTACTGAGTTATTGATATTATATTTTTATACAGAATTTGATTGCAAGCTGACATAATGAAAATATAATTTATATGTATAAATCTAATCTAATAATTAAAATAATATTCATTTAATAAAAATTTAAATAGTCTTATTAATTTCTAAATTATAAAAGAAATCCAGTGGGTAATCAAAAAAAATTTATTTTTAGTTCAAGGGGATATTAAGAAGCCATTAAAAAAAATTTTTTTTGCTTCAGGGGGCTATTTAAATTTTTCAGGGGGCTCGAGCCCTTGCGCGCCTCCCTTAGCGACGCCACTGATCTCAAGGCAATTTTGTAAGTGACATTTTAGTTATTTTTTCGCAAATATTGCAAAACTTTTATATTAAATGTTATAGCACCATACCAATTTTTTTACACGTACGGCTTCGCTATTTGAATTTATTCTCAGATTATTTTGATGCGTCTAATTTTAATAAAGCGTCCAACCTTGCTCAGTTATTATTCTAATGCTTTTAGCCCTAGTTAAATCATGCATTATCATTTGTTTGATGTAAATATGATTTAATATAAATTCTAATGAATCAATCTTTTTATTTAGATATTGTTGGAATATCATCATAGTTGCCTCATCAAATTCTATTGTTTTTAATTCATATAAAAATTATGATATAACATTTTGCTTAATATACACAAATTGGGAATATAATTCAAAATTACAATTGAAAAATTTAAAGAAGCTCAAGCTTCTACACAATTACAAAGTAAATACTTATAAAAGCAAAAAATTATTTCATAAATATAGATACATTTCTCCACTTTAAAATATTCAAGTGAATATGATTATAATAAAATATTTAAAGAATTAGAAAATATTCCATCATATTACTTATTTTATGGCAATTATCCAACTATTCATTATCAAGGCTCTCAAAATATCAAATATTTAAATCAATATTTACATAATATATTATATGAACCTTTTATTCATATTCGTAATATAAATGATATACAAATATTAAATTCATATTATCAAGTTATTCAAGACTTTACACTCTAATATAATAAATTTTTTTAGTATACCTTAATATATCACTCTCCTTCATTTAAAGAAACTTATTTTGATGATTTCTTACATGAAATATTAAAATATAAATCAAAAGGTTAGAAAATAGATTAATATTATAAAATAATTTATCATCATATCAGGAGAGGCATTAAATACCATTGGATTTGGGTTGAGCACAAATTTTAAGCTACAAAATAAAATATATCCTGGTTATATCAATAAGACATTTTTTATATTTTTTGATTCCTATAAAAAACAAGAAGTAATTTGTTTTTATTATATTATAATATTAAAATTAAATAATAGTTATTGATTGAAACAAATAAACCATTTGATGTTTTAAAATGGCTTCAAAATCATGCTGAGAAAGTTAGTTAAAATTTTAAAAATATTAACTGATTTACATTTTATTCTTTAAAATCTGATGAAGTTATAGGAACAAAAAGGAAGATAATCTATAATTTCATTAGAAACTTTTTGTAGTTTCTTTCAAAAATAATTTGGTTATTTTATTTTACTCTTAAACCCTCAAAAAATTATAATAATTTTCTTAAGATTACAGTTTAGCCTCCTAATGTGGCCACATAGGTGTGGTTACATTTTTAAAAATGTTTGTAATATAATATTATCATCACTGATCAATCAAGAATAGTAGACAATCATCTATTATTTTTGGTTTACATGTCAATGAATTGAAATAATTTAACATTAATCTCAAATCCCCTTATTTTCATTAGTTCTTTTAAATATAATTCAATTCACATGTTTTAATATTTAGAGATCTGTATGGCCTGACCAAAAAAATAGTTGTACAAAATATTTTTATAAACCTGGCCAAAATTTGGTATAATTTTTTAAAGCTAATTATTAGGCAAATTTTTGTTGTTTTACTTCATAAGAATTATTACAGGTTTTACCGAATATAAAAATCTCTATAAGCCAGTTTGGGCTAGCAAGTTTGGCCTCTAGTACTTTTGATCTATTTTAATACTAATTAGTATTTAAAAATATATATGATCCATTATTAGCATTTTATCAAATTTGTAAATGTATCTATTTACCATTTTTATTTTCAGATCAGATCTGATAATTAATATTGCCTGAATCCAATATTTTAAAATGAAAAATTATTTGTTACCATCATTATTCATTATATAAAATTATTTTAAATATTTAAATTAGAAAATAGAGTTTTTAACTGAGAAGGATATCTCCAACTACAATTCATACAACAAGGGAGATGAGACCTCTTTGCTGTTACTTGTCAACTTTAGCAATACGTTTTTCGACAATACGATTAACCTGGTATAATTAACTATATTTTATATCATTACTTATGGTTTAGCTAAATATTATGTAATATATAAGGTTGTTAAGAAGCCTGATTTGGGTCGATTTTTAAAAACGATCCGATTAAGATTTTAGCCAAAATAATATTATGTAAGCCTCAAGATTTGACAAAATCGGGTTGATTAACCCTATTAATATGTTTAAATTGAATAAAATCGTTTTGCAGCAAATGATTTTGGGGGACAAGTAATCATTTAAAAGGACAAGAACTGATATGATATCTTAGAATTACATCCAAGACTAAAATTTAATTTAAAATATTTGCAATGTTTATTATGACTCGAATTTTTTTTTTCGTTTAAATTCTTTGCTTGATACTATGATATATAATGTCAAAGAAAATATATATATGAATCTCCACCCAAAATTTTCGTCCATCAAAAATTTATACATACAAACGTTTAAAATTTCGACATTTTTTTTACAACTATTTTCGATAGAGATCTGCAAAGTTAGGCCAATTCTATTTAAAAAAATCGGGTTCGGGCCGGGCCTAATATTTTTTATAAAAATTCGGGCCGGGTTGGGTCGGACCTTCGAATTTTTTTAAAATATATCTAAATTTCTCAATTTTATATTGAATTTTTTATGTAGAGTAATTATAAAAATTAATTTCTATATTTAAATAAATTCTGCTGCGACGGGCCGGTAAATTTTTTCTAAAAAAATTTCGAGTCGGGCCGGGCTTGAAAAATTAGGCCCGATGCAGATCACTAATTTTCGATATATACAAATATAATGGATCGGGTTTTTTTAAATATCCGTCCAATCCGAAAAATGATTAGTATCGGACTTGATCCGTTATTAAATGTTGAATTGAGCCATATCCGGAATGCATTCTTATGATTTCAGTTTCTGGGTTCTCATAAAACATTCCTGCTTCCCTAAGCATTATGATTATGAAAATTTGAGAGGAATGGTGACTGAGAATTTTTAAATAGTTTTACAAAAAGATGGTCAATAGCTAACAAGAAAATTCTAATATTAAAAAACTTTGCTGAATCACTTGTTTACGGAACGCTTAGATTTTCCAGTTTGCAGGCGATAGAAAGTATTTTTTTTTAAAATACATTTGGGGAAATACTATTATAGCCCATTACTTGTACTCTTTTTTTTGTTTTAATTTGTGATTTTAATTTTAACAGCCCTTCCCCCATTCTTAGATTTTTATTTTAAAAAGAATTATATATCCTTATTAATATTGTAAATCGTTACATATCTGATTTTCCTAATTCACTCATTCAATTAATTTTGTAGTTCCTTTATTTTGGAGTTTTATAGAAATTTTAAATATACTCACTATTTTTTAATTTACAAATATAAAGATGCATACTATTTACGACATCTACCTTTACGCCATTTCCGATTTTGACGTTACCAACAACTATTCTTTCAAACATTCCTTTTACACGCTCGGCCCTAATAACCCTCTAGAACGTTTCAACGAATCGTTATCTTACTGCCTAGCTATTCGTCATCCATTTGCTTCCGCCAATTTTCAATGCAAGAACCTGCACCACGATTATTTACGATCCTTTGCCACCGTAAAAAACGAGGAAAAGCGTTGCCCAAACTTGGAAACTCTATACCATGCGCTTCGCAATAATAGCCATGAGTATATCGAACCTCCATATTATTATGAATCGAGTTTTTACTCGCCCCATACCTTGTTAATCTATTACCCTAAAATATTGCATAAACTTTACATCGAATCCATACGTGAAAGCTTATCTAATCGCGAATTTTCCTGGAAAAGAAATTCTCCCTTGGAAACAAGAGCCTTACAATTTTGCCAAAAATTGTTTAACGACTATCGGACTGCGTCTAGCGAAATCTACATAGTCAGTAAAACAATTACCCATCTCGAATCTATCGTGGCTCAAATTCGAAAAAGTTTTAAAAATATTAAACACACGAAATTGCATTTTAAAATACTCGATACGTCTTTGCTAGATGGCGCTCACTCTTTCTTTTTGGGTGTCGACGATTTCAATTCGTTGATCAAAGATAATCCCTCCGTTTTGATAATAGATGAAAAAGTAATTGAATGAAGAAAAAAAAATTATTTCCGGAATTACCTCTATTTCTTTCTTAAATACTATTTACTTAAAACGTATTAGCTTAATCCTTATATTTTAACACTGCCTCCTAATCGGAATTTATGAGTGATCATTGCGCGCATGCACGTTTAGAACGTGTACTTTCGTGAAAATCGATTTTTAGTGGATTCTCTAGTTTTTAGCCCCAAAGTGTGGCTCAATCTTGAGGAAAGTCGGTGGGAAAAAAAATAATTTAATGCCTTAAATATTTCCCAAATTTTTTTCGGTACTCACCCACAGAATTTACCGATTTCGCAACGCTATACCAAGACGCTCATACGCTCCGATTATGATGCAGCTTTCATAAGTAAAAATTTTTTTAAAAGGTATATATATCTAATATGATAATTTTATTTAAACATTTAGTTTTCCTGTATTCTTTTTAAAAAAAAATAATTAAAACCGCGCTTATAATGATCCTCCAGGGAGCATAAATGAAAAATGTTAAAAATAGGTAAGCGCTATGAGGTGTGTTTACTCTCTATAATACTTAAAGGAGAAATTATTAGTTTTCTCTGAGAATATATAAAATCAAATCTTATAAAAAAAATATATCAAGGTTCGGACGAAATATTTGCTTGAACACCAAGATTTCAATCCCAATAATCTAGGTTCGTTTTGGAAATTTTATATAGTATCATTTGTGATAAATTTTGTTATTCTAATTTTTATTTAAATTTTTAAAATAAAAGTATCATACTACCCCTTCCCTACCCCATTTCCCGCACTATTGTTTAATTGATTCTGGGAAATTTTCCATCTTTGGTTCCTATTAGTTCTAGGTTCCGATATAAATCTTTGATATTTATATATATATATATTACAACGATAAAATAATATAGTTAAATTTATACTGGATTATGCAAACGGTTTGTTGCCGCGTTTTATGATATCCGAAATTTTACCCGCCCCTCCTATATCAATGCAAAACAATATCGTCGAGTTAAACAGCGTCAACTTTGAATCCATTATTTACCAGGCTTCCAAAGTACACATCCATATATAACATATGATTTACCAGATTTTAGAATTTAGCCGGACCAAAGAGTTCTGCATTGTTGCACTTTTGTTGAAGCCGGTTTCATGGAAATTTTAAAATCGCTTTCGCTTTACATGAATTTTAAAGGGGGTTTACGGTTTCTATATTTCTCCCAATTTCTTCTTTTAACTTTGGATTTGCAGAGCAGAGATCAAAATTTTAAGGCTTACCTAGAAATAAATTTCTATTTTCAGACTCTGCTTGGATTCGGCGATGATCTTTTTTTAAATTTTATCATTTGTTCCGAAATTATTTTGATTAAATTATGGTTCAATTTTGATTGCTTCAAAAGCAAATTGGAATTTAAGAATATAAGCCGGAAATTACAGCTGAATAATTTTTATATTAATTTGGAAAAATTTTAAATATGACCCTAGCCCAGGTTTTTAAAATAGTCTACCTCTATGTATTAAGATTTCTAATTAAAATGATTGTTAATCTTTTTTTACAGCACAATTTACATTTTTTCTAATATCAAGATTTTTAAAAATAAAAATAACTTAAGAATGTGATAGTGATGTTTTACACCCATTATTGTGGCTATTGTTTATCCGTAACCAACATTTTCATGTTAATTGCTCATCAATCCCGTGAGAATAAGAATACTCTATTTTCAAGGTGAATATATTTATTATTATACTTCTTTAATAACATTACATAAATGTGGTTTAAATTAAGTCCTTTTTTACAAACCCGATATTCATACAAAACCGATTCGATACTGATCAAATATTTAATTTTTTTTATTAATATTTACCATCTAACTTTGAACAAATTTCATATAAAAAATTAATATTATCTATCTAAAAAAATAACTAAACTATGGGCTAACCAATAATACTATCATTAATTAAAAGTGGTTTAGGAGTCCGCTGAAGCGCCATTTTGTGGTCTAATCGACGTGCAAATCACTCAATGCACTGCTGCTGACTCCTATATATGTACACTATTAAATTCAAGAAATATGATGCATGAATTGTCAATATTGTAGTATACTTACATCAATGGGGCCAAACGTGGATAATTCATTAAAGCACCTTGGCCATGAGAAAATAAACTTTTTAAAGTGTATCAAAATTACATGTATTTTGTTTTTATTTAAACTTAGTCATCTCATTTTAAATATTTACTATGTTTATCGCTGAATGTGAGTGACTCGTTTACTATTTTTAATTATATTTTTAGCTGTCTTTCTTCTCTCTATTCATTTTTTTAAATAAATTAGAAATTTATATGTAAAAAATATTTACATGATTATATATATTCATAAAATAACCATAACAATGATAAACAAATCTGATCGGGATTTTTTGAAAATATCGGTCCAATTCGATTTAAAAAAATGTAAATATTGACACCATCCTAGTATAAATATAAATTAGCCATGTAACTGGACCTATTTTCAGCAATGATTGGAACCTAATGAAATGTGCATTTAAGTTCGGATCCAGATAGAATAACATCCCTGAAAATAATAATTATTTTTTAAAACAAGCAATTATAACATAACTAAATCTAATTTTTTTAAAATATTATTGTACATATCATAAGTTATAATATAACAGGAAAAATTACATTTATTAAACATGTATAGGTCCTTTATTAGCTAACCTGATGAATAGAATCACTCAAACGAAAAAAACAATATCAGATTGTATTGGACTTTTAAAAATAGGTACCCGATGTAGATCTCTCTGTACTAGAGATTTGTAAAGCCCCAGCCCTCGCACAAACAGGAAATATTTAAAAAAAATTATTATGGCAGGCTTCACAAATCACATGTAATTTTTTATGGAGATACCGAAATTTTATATAAAAATAGAAACTTTTGAGTCACCTTTAATTTCTTCTAATACAAATTCCATATTTACTAATAGATTTTGTTATCAAATTATTTTTTGAATTTTTTGAGGTAAAGTTGTTAAACGGTTTGATTTAAGTGAATTTTTTAAAACGGCTAACTCATTATCCAGTAAAATATTATGCAAGCCTGAAGGTTTTCTCATATATGGCACAAAGGTCTAAGTATCTATTAGCAAATTCTTAAGGCCTAGGGAATATTTTTCAATCTGCTCAAATCAATCCATTTAACAACACTTTTTTGAGGCTGACATTTTTTGCAAAATGGTTCTCGGACAGTTTTATCTGATCGGACATTTCCGTACTTGGCTCTAGTAGCTTTAGTAAAAACTAATGGTTTGTTAAATTTAAAATAAAAAATCGGCTAGGTTTGATCTGGGTTTTTTTATAGCTTGTCTCCGATGCATAAAACAATTATAAATTTGACACCAAAATATTTAAAAATTATTTATTACAATTAATAAATTAACCTCGAAAGATGCACATATATTTTTTTCTTTTTATATTTTTTATTATACAGGATAAATTTAGCCAAAAACGAACTTCCCAAAAAATACGGAGTCAAATATTATCCTACTTTGAAAATTTATCCCGCTTTCAAGTTATCATTTTTTATATATAAGATAGTGTTGTTAAACGGCTAACTCAATATTTTAGCCAGAAAAATATTGCCTAAGCCTCGAGATTTCTCTAATAGATGTCCAAAACCTTTGTTTCTTCTGCAAACAAAATCTTCTAGCTTGCATGATAGTATTCTGGATGGAATATTGAGTTAGCCGTTTTTATAAGACTAGTTGTTAAAAATATTTTTTAAAGGTATCTAGATCAGAGAACTGGCCGGGCAGAGCCATATTTTAATTTTTTTTTATATATACCCAGGCTGGGCCTAAAATTTTTTTTAAAAAATACCCGGGCCAAGTTGGGCCTAAAATTTTAAAAAAATATCCAGAGGGAGCCGTATATTTTAAATCACCACTATTTTAAATCAAAAAATATATAATATAATTTAAAAAATTCGGACCTGAGTTGAAAATATTATACCCGGGCCACGCCCTGCAAATGGTACCTCTGCAGGTCTCTGATCTATATAAAAATTTGTTAAAATATATTTGCGATACTGCCCAATCAGTGATGTAACTAGGAATTATTTGGGAGTGGATAGGGGGAGGAATTAGCCTTTGCCTTCAACACCCCCCCCCACCCTCATTTACCTGGATTTTGGTGGGGTCACATCTATGAGAAATTTTGATTAATTTTTAAAAATATAATGCTTTATATCTTTTTTATCCTATAAGTTGGTCTTAAAATTGGAAACATTAATTCTAAAATCTATTTCAATATTTCAGGCTTTCGATTGGTATTTTACAAATATGAATAACACAATTATTCGAATCGACTACGAATAAGGAAAATATAATATCCGTCAAATATTTTTTTTATCTATTTTTCGAAATTCGTATAATTGCAAATTATTCAAAATAATTTTAAATATCTTAAATTATTATTTAACATGTTCCTTGTGGACCTTTTTATTTTTTTTACTATTTCTCCACATGTATAAATCAATTTTATAAATATTTTTTAAGAACTTAATTTTTCAATATTTGACGAATCAAATGGAATAATGTTTTTCCATTTGTACAAATACGAATAATTCAATTCGAAACACGAATAATGCAAATATTTGATTCATATTCTAGTAGATTTACCTACGAGTTCTTTAACCAATATAATAAAAAAGAATTATTAATAATTTGCCAAATTAACAATCCAACCCCCCAGCCTTGTTTATACCAGTGTCACTGTGCTTAACTATGTTTTCCATGAGCATGATTTTTTTTGAAAAATGTTATTTTTTAAATAACTTTTTACTAAGATTTAGGTTCCTTTAATTCTACTTTTTTCTTTTTTTCATTATTTTCCTCATTTTTTTTATATATGGCTTTTGAGGTTGTGTCCAAAATTTGATTTTTTAAAAAATTTACAAATTTGGAAAACTTTATTGAAAATAAAAAAATCTTTTTTCAAACAGAAAATGAATAAAGATATTCTTTTTAATATTTAAATAAATAACATGTATAAATATATTTCTAGGAAAATTTCAAAAATTTAACATCTGATTTCATTAAAATTTTGAAATTTCTGAAATTTGTTTAGATTTTTAACACATGGACGCAACCATAAAACAATATTTATAACATTTACAGTAAAACTTGTCTAATGTGGGCACTGTTGGGACCAAGATTTTTGTCCAATTAGAAGGGATTTTCTAATAGATAATATTTAATATAAATTTGATTGGGATTCAAAATTTTGCTCATATTAGGGAGTTGTCCTAATTATCAAGGGTCCAAATTGCCAATTTTAATGTATAGCTCTTTTGTCATATGATGTCGATTTTGAAACCCATGTTATCCTTTTTGAAATTATAGTGTCCTTCAATATAATTGTAATATTTACTAATGTTATAGAACGCGGTCATTCGTTTTTTTGGAAAAATTGATGTATGACTTTCCTTTTATTTTTGACAAACGCATTCGTTTTTTACGTTCGTTCAATTTTAGAAAATTTTCTTATTTTTATTCATTTGAAAAAAAATATTTATCCAAATTTTTTTTTAAAAAAAGGGTTATATTTTAATCAACTATTTCCTTTATCACATTTGAATTTTTTAACTAGCCACTATTTTTGATGAATTAACATACCATGTTTCAAATATAATAAATACTATTTAATAACATCATATCTTTAAAAAACTATTTCTATCCTTACCAAATTTATAATGTGTCCTAAAAGTATAATATCAGTTTCAAAATCTTCAAGTTCTAATTTAAAGAGATACATAATTGTAATATTTATTATTTTATATAATATAAATATAAATATCCTGTTAATAATTTATTTTAGACTGTTGTATGATGTATTATTTACATAGATATAAAATAGTTAATATCTTTTCGAATTTATTTATTTTTAGTTTGATTTTTTGAAATTTCTCTATTATCTTTAAGTTTTTATCAAGGGTTTCCATATTTTAATAGTTGAGCACAATTTAAAATAATATTTAATATATTTTATAAATATTTAAATTTTATATGATAGATAAAAGTTTTTATATATTAAAAATTAATATTGTTTTAACAAATAAAAATAATTTTCTATATACTTAAAATTAGTAATTTTGAACATAGCTAATAAATTGTGTAAAAAAATATATAGTATTTATTTATATTAAATTTAATTTAAAAAATTTTTTTTTATAAAGGTTTGAAAGAACGTAAACGCGTTCCTTTTTTTGAAAGTGAACTTGAACTAGATGAACGTTGAACGCGTTCGATTTTTTATAATATTTACAGCACGAATATTTGCTAATGAAAAAGAACACTTTATATAATTTATAATATTGTTTGGTCCTTTAAATTATAATATTCCTTTATATTTTTCGATCGTTATTTTTAGTAAGAATCAAACCGTTACCTACCCAATTTCTTCGCCGTGGAATGATCGTGAACTTCGTAATTTCATTAAAATCAGCATTCGGAACAACAATTTGAATATAGTCGGAGCCGTTCTTAAAAATTATCACGACAAAACCTTGAAACAAAGATTTTATGATATACCTAATAGTACCCATTTCATTGATATAAGTACAAATGCCAAAAATTCCTTAGTTAATCAGGGACACATGATCAAAATATCATTTTTAATTAAAAAGCAAATCCTAGCCAATTTATTATAATTTTATCTTTGTTTTTTTTTAAAGTAGCAAATCGTTGTTTGATGATTACCACACTTTAGAAAAAAATCTGATCCACAGGGATCAATCCTTCCCTCTATGCATTTTATATGTTTTTTAAATAAAAAACCAATTAGCGAGGCGAGGAGTTCGAACCCTATAATCATTAATAAAATAATGAGTAAAGGTGTAAATTTCAATTCAAACATATCAATGCGGTTGTAAATTTTGTTTGTATATATATATTATTTTTTACGCTCAAAGAATTATGTGTGATTTAATATATTAAATAATCAATTATAATTTTTAAAACAAATTTTACCTGGTGGGGAATACAATATTATAAATTATTAAAGTAAAGTGATTTTTTTTATCCAATATCGGGCTAATTGTTGAATAATTGTATATTCTTCTTCTTCTCCGTTTTATGGCGATTTCCAGGTTTACCCGGGTAGGCTAGTTTTCCCTCTGATTTTTCTTTTCCATTTTTGACGGTCCTGAGCATCAATACTTGTAAGATTCATGCTTCTCATATCCGCCGCTATCACATTTGTCCACGTCACCTTGGGTCTTCCTCTATGTCTTGATCCTCCTACTTCCATCATTGTGCATCTCTTTACCCAGTCATCTCTTGTCATACGTTCCACATGCCCAAACCATCTTAGTCTATTTCGTCGCATTACCATACCAATCATTTCTATACCTAATCTTGCTCGCAATTCCTTGCTAGTTTTTCTCTCTCAGAGATACCCCACACATCCATCTAACCATCCTCATCTCTGTTCTTTAAATTTGGCTTCGTGAGTCGCTTTCATTGCCCATGTTTCACCGCCATAACTAAACAACTCCTCACACAGCTTACGTAAACCTTCCCCTTTAACTTCAGAGAAACTTTTTTATTTGTAAGAATAGACGACATCTCTCTGAACTTTTTCCAAGCTTGTCTGATCCTTGCAACAACGGCAGAATCTACATCACCATCTGCGTTTAGCATACCACCTAAATAACAAAACTTATCCACTTTTTCTAGGGTTAACCCATTGCCAATATCCAGACCACCATTTTTTAGGTTATCATTATTATGTATCCCTTTCATGCATGTTCTACAAATAAAGGTCATTCTTTCTAACATCAAACTGCCTTTTTTCCCGCTACATCATTTATGTACCCTGGCATCGGATGCATTGAATAAAATTTCTAGCAACTCCTTTCCCACATACACCACAAGGCCACTTACCGGATTCCTCCATCTTTAGATTTTCCCCAACAATCATCACCTTTGTTTTTGATGCATTCATTTTCAGGCCCTTTGCTTCCATAGTCATCTTCCATTTACTAACTATCCCTCAATTCTCCCTCACTGTTTGCCATTAATACAAGGTCATCTGCATATAATATCTCCCATGGAAGTCCTTCACGCATTTCTCTAGCCACCACATCTATTACTAAGATAAATAATGGACTCAACACGGATCCTTGATGAAGTCCTACCTTCACCTCAAAGCTGTCACTATCACCATAATCCGTCCGTACTGCTGTTTGTGCTCCAACATACATTGCCACTGCGGTTACCAACCATTCTTCCACACCTGATTTTCTCAAGGCCCATCTAGTAATACGCTGCACCCTATCAAATGCTTTCTACAATCAACAAACGCATAATAAAGTTTCTTTTCCTTCGCAAGATACTTCTCCTGAATTTGTCTCACCACAAAAATTGCATCTGTTGTGCCTTTTCCCGATGTAAAACCAAACTGCATTTCATCAATTTTAATTTGTTCTCTTAACCGCTTCTCTAACACTCTCTCAAATACTTTCATTGTATGTTCCAAGAGTTTAATAGCTCTGTAAGACCCGCAATCTAAAGGATCACCTTTCTCCTTGTATACTGGGATAATTATACTTCTTCGCCAGTCCTCTGGAATAGTATCATCTGTGACAATTTGATTGGCTAAATTCATTAACCATTCAATCCCTAAATCATCAGAACCTTTAAACATCTCTGATACCACCATCGTTAAACCCGATGTCTTCCCTTTCTTCATTTTCACTGCTCTCTTTATCTCGTCCTTGCCAAATTTACACCCTGGACCTTCTACCTTTGCACAACTAATATTATTATCCCATTCATTTTCTTCATTCAAAAGTCCTTTCATGTAAATCTTCCAGGTGTTCTTAATACCACTACTATCAATCGCCATTTTTCCTTCCAATTTTTCAAACACTTTACACCTATCACATCCTGCCTCTTTTTTGACATCTGTTTTGCCATTCGAACCATATTTCCAATTCCATCAGCGCATTCCATTTCTTTAGCAAACTCATGTCTTTTTTTTTCTTGAGCCTTCGCTATTAATTTTTTTAGCATTTCTTTTAGCCATCTTGTAAATATCATTATCACTATTTTCTTTGCTATTATACCATACTTTGAAACACCTCCGTTTCTCATCCACGGCTTTCGCTACCTCCAGGTTCCACCACCAAGTCTCCTTATGTCTAGGCGGCCCTTTTGTCCATCCATATACCTCCTCAGTTGTCATTACCCAGACTTTCTTCATGGCTTCCCACTTGTCATTCACCCCAGATGCTTGTGCCACCTCCGCCTCCCTAATCGCCAATGCCATATTGAATTGACGTTTAGCACTCTCCTCCTTCCATTTCCAAACCTTCAGCCTTGGGACAAACTTTCTTTTAGTGGCCCTGGCACCTTTAAGAGTGAGATCTCCTACAACTAGTAGATGCTGATTTATACATTCCTCTCCCGGTATCACTTTTACATTTTTTACTATACATCGATCACATCTCCTTAATAACAAGTAATACACTGCACTTTTGGTACTACCCGACTTATAAGTCACCAGCTTCTCTGATTCTTTCTTAAACATTGTATTACAGACAATCATATCCATAGCATCACTAAAATCTAAAATCCTCTCTCCTTCCAAATTTCTCATGCCGTAATTGAACCCTCCATGTACTCCTTCATAACCCTCACTACTCGCTCCCACATGTCCATTCAGATCACCAGCCAGGATGATCCCCTCTTCATTTGCCAGTCGATGTCACCCCCAAAATACATCTTTCTCTTATTCACTTCTTCCAACCTGAGTATATAAATAAAATTAATAATCTAAGGTAAATTTTTACATTTTACCTTGCCCTAACTCAACTAAATTAGTTAAATTAATATTAACAAATGTGTATGTCATTTTGGGATACGGCATTCATGGAGATACGGAATCTCGATTTTAAATCATTTACCGAGGTTTATTCTAAAAAATTTAAATTCTGATTTAACTGGAAAGAAATGTATTCTAGCATATGTAGAGGTATCTACCCTATTAATTTTAGACAATTTTCTCCATAAATCTTTCCTATTTATTAATTTATATGAAAAATCAATATAAATTACGACTAGTTCAAAGGTTCATGGTAAAATTATCTGAAATTCACAGCGTGAGTATCCTATATATTCTAAAATACTTTTCCTGTCAAATTAGATTTTTGAAATTTTAAAATCTACCTCAGTAAATGATTTAAAATTGAGAGATTCCGTATTTCCATGCATTCTATATCCCAATTTGATCCCAATACGACATATGTTGAAAATAATACCTTGCATTAACTAATTTTGGTTAACTTGAAACATTTTTTTTAAAATAAAAATATATTTTATAGGCATAAAATTTCCAAATTAGTTTGGCTTGCTAGAACAAGCAAATATTAAATACATAACTAATTTGGTCTAGTTAGAGCGAGTTAAAAAAAAATTTTAAATATGTATTTGCTACAATATAAATTATAGAAAAATTTATTGCAGTAAAATTTAAAATTGTTTCATTTGACTAATCAAATTCTTTTACTAATTTCAATCTATGACGAAGCGCCTATAAAGGCATGGGAGCATTTTGCTTCCATATTTTTCTTAAAATATTCTTAAATAAATTAAATATAAACTTTATACTATCTGTATTAATATTATCTTTTTGCGTTAAATATACTATTATTGTAACTGACTTTAAAAAATAATATTATTTTTACAACGTTATATAATAATATACATGAGAGAAGCAAATTTAATATTTCTTATTTAAAAAAAAAATCATGCTCATTATTATATTATTGTGTAATTTTTATTACGTTAAACAGTATAAACATTGGAGAACCAAATATAAAATAGTTTATTTTATAATTAATAAAGAGAAAATCATGCGAGTATATTATACAATTTTACGTTTAGAAATAAAGGTTGGGTTATAAATTATAAAAAAGCTTCTTTTTTTTTAGTAAATCAAAGAAGTGACATTTATATGTATATATATTTATCTCCTTTTTAAATAAAAATTTTTTCTTAGAAGAATTAATAAATATTATTAGCTCAAGAAATCTTGATGTTTAGTTGATTATTGAAAATGTAAAACCAAAGCCAATTTTACAAATCTTGAAAAAAGAAAACAAAACTTTTTGTAATTTTTCTATCACGGCTCATTGCCTATTATTCTCACAAAGGTAAAATATGTTTGGAATGATAAAGGAAAAATCATTTGGCAAATTCGAATTGAAATTATGATTATATCGCAAAATATCAATCAAAATTTTACTCAAAAAAGACGAATTCTGCTTATTTATGAATCATAGATAAAAATGTTTTTTAATTGCTTCCTTAATAGTAAACTTGATGCTTAATCACCGGGATCAAGTATGGGTTAGGTATTTTTAATTATAAGTTAACATTCTTAGTAAGTAGCGATAGTGGTGGTATGACCTGCGTCTACATGACAGGATTTTCACTAGATGAAAACTCCGCCACCCCCCAAACCTATGTTTTAAATTAATATGGGTAATCTTTTCATAAATTAAAAAAAAAAAATTATTTTAGCTCTACTACCAACTATTAAAATATTGTCAATATAAAATTTTTTTTGATCAAAAATTCAATTGTAAGCCCCCTTATTTACCATGAATGCATTATTATTGTTTGGCATGATTATGAGTTTGCTGAGAATGTCTAACCCTTTTAAATATTTAAAAGGATAGTAGAAAGTTTTATTTCGAAAATAATATCTATGATTGTTTGTAATATATAGATTTGGTCGATTAGAGCAATATCATTGTACTATAATTAATAGATTTATAATAAAAGTATACAGCAATATATTATGTCCTATTTCATAAAAAAATTTAAAAGATAACCACCCAATAAATTTATCCTACCTCCCTTAAGAAAAATTGCATGCACACTGTTCCTACTCCCTACTCTTTGTTCATGTAGACGCTAAGGAGAGCTCGTATTTATAGATATTAATCTTTTTCTTGTCAATTTTTGGTGAAATTTATTTTTGCTAAATAAGATACCCTAACTATCGATCGAAATTAAT